TTGTTTTAGCGGGTGTTTTAAGCGATTTGCATCGGGAGCTCAACCATGTGTGTCTATCTCGTTCGCTTGCTTGGCTCCGCCCCCGATATTTCTAATTATGTGCTGAGGGCAAGTTGCACCCCCACCACACATGACATTGGCTAACTAATGTCAATTCTGTGCATAAATTATGTATGTTGCCAGCGTGCCCTGCACACTGACAAATTACTTAAAAATCTTCTCCTTGCGAGGGAAAGCTGTCTCTCCCTTACCACTCTCCATCCCACATTGAGCTCTTTTTATATAACATGCAAGGAGCGAAGTGCAGAATTCAGGAGCTCCAATAGACTATAGTCTCTGTTGCGTTCCACATTGTATGACTCTTGTATTCTATGCTGTTCTAACATGTAGTTTTGGTATCATTCAGTCAACAGAGTAAATGATATTCGGATTTTCCAATAATAAATACGAACCTTTTTTAATGCGGTAGACACTACAATACAGATTTATAGCATGCACGCAGAATGATGATTCAGTTACACTTAAAGGGACACTATAGTCACCAGAATAACTACAATTTAATGTAGTTGTTCTAGTGTACACTATAACCTCCTGGGAACCGAGGAAAAAATTGTCTTCCAATATGCCATCCATGTTTGATGAAAAGGAAGAGGAAGTTCCCAGCATCCCAGCCTATCACATAACATATCACTGGAAAGCCCACGATGTCCTCTTTACAATACAGCAAGGATTGATAGAGTAGCTCAAAAGAATAAAGGGAGATGCATGTGAACGAAATGTCCAGTACAGAGGACACAAGTTAATAAGCTGGGAATCATGAGGATATAGCCTGCACCTGCAGGCATTTTAATGTAAACACTGCCTTTTCAGAGAACATTACTGCCTAGGAACACCTCCAGTGGCAGTCACTCAGATGGCCACTAGAGGTACTTCCTGGGTCAGTGCTACACAATGTGCCACACTCTGCATGGTGGCACTGGGCACTCTGCAGGGAGACATAGTGTTTTCGGTGTGCATAATGTAACGTCTTAACTGTGCCTTCGAGGACACCTAAAAATCTCTAATCATTTCTGTCTAACTATCTACATCCAGTGGCAGAATTATCCACTCTGTACAACCTCCAGGTAAATGTCATCTGTCATGAAAGTTTCACCAAAATATCATTGATCAGCTAAACCTCGTATCTGCAGGTTAGAAAGGAGCCCGGACACGCGTTTTGCTGGTTTGGCGGCTCTTCAGGGATTAGAGAATTTTAGGTGCCCTCGAAGGTACAGTTTAGATGTTACACTATGCTCGCAGAAACCACTCTGTCTCCCTTTCTCTCCCTGGGGTTAATACTTATTTTTCGGCAGAACTATCTATATCTGGAGCATGTTATTGGTGCCAAACTAGTGATCAGTTCTACCTGAATGTGATACTTGGCAATAGGATCAGCTACTCATTTGAGAGATTAACTCTCACTCTATACACTATCAGTAAGATTCATCATCAGAGGTATATCGAGGTGCCCACCAAGGTGCCCCCTGCTTACCTACAAATACTAGGGTTGCTTCCAGCGGTAAAAGACTAATCGTTCTGCCCGCACGCATAAACTGCCAGACTGAGCTAATTAAGAACCCTTAGATTGGAAGCAGGGACACTCCATCCTAACTAACACTTCCTATAGACTGTAAGCTCGTTTGAGCAGGGTCCTCTTCAACCTATCGCTCCTGTAAGTTTTCTTACAATTGTCCCATATATAGTTAAATCCCCCCCCTCTAATAATATTGTAAAGCGCCAGAGAATCTGTTGGCGCTATATAAATGGCAATAATAATAATAATAACTACAGAACCTGATTCAACAAGATCAAAGAGTGTGCAATCGGGTGTCCTGATCGTATTGACTCTAACCACTTTTGCAACATTGTGTACTTACATAGCAACAAAGTTGTCATACGATGGTTACTTCCTAAAGAGGCACGTCAAACAAGGCAGATTGCTAAAAGATTGGTCTGGGTCCTTTTCAAGTGACAGCATTATCTAACCCAAATTGTAATTTATATATATATATATATATAGTGATTCTATAGACATTTCAGTGCATTTTATCTTTTTTGAACCTCCCTATGTTCAGATTGGTAACTGAGATTGGGGAAACCTTTTTGTATATACTTTATTCAGGAGTATATCTTGACTCTTTTTCCCTTTATTATTTTTGAAATCCTTATTATCATTTTGGTTTGGGATTATTATTATTTTTTTTATTATTTCTTCTTTTCTCTTGTTATTGGTTTAGTGAGCACTTGTATATATTTCTGGTAGCACTATAGGAGACATTTTTTCTCCGTCCCTTTTCTATTCTTAATTCAAGAGTGAGAAAGCTCATTCACCGTAGGTTTAGTACCTTCTGAGGCAATAAAGTTAGGAATTATATTGTGTACTCCACAATATTTTTATCCTTATATTCTTAATACCTTATATTAACTAAGGTATGAATTGTATAGTGATTTCTAAGTGAATTTTAAAGTATCCAAATTAAAAAACAAAATTGATAAATTATTTATTTATTCTGGCCCAAATTTGAAAAATATCACTTTGAATTCCTGACAATTTACACTCTAATGAGTATCACTGTGAGAGTGTCAGAACGCATTTACTTGAGCAATGTATTATGGTTAAAAAAAACCAAAAACCTCTTCTTAAAGGAACACTCATTTTGTGAATAAATGATTCATTATATTCCTGACCACCCTTTGGGAATGTAAAGAATAGAACTTTAATTCAGTGCTGTCCTGCACTTGATGTGACAGCCGCTTCATCCTCTGTGAGATCATCAGTAACGGTGTTTTCTTAGGCCAATCCACTGCTTGTCTCGTGCAATGTCAGTCATATGCTTCTCATAGAGGAGAGTTATCTCAATGCTCTTCAATGAGAAGAATAATCAGCTTTCATCGCGCTGGATGTGATGACAGCAAATGTGAAGACTTTACATTAATGTCAGTTTGATTGACAGCCACTTGAGACTTGCCGACTGACAAATGTAAACACCGCCATGTCTCAGAATGTACCACAACCACTACATCAAGACGTAGCACTTTTAGTGCTTACAGTATCCCTTTAAGTGCAATATATACCCATTAATTGCAATGGATTAGTGCATTTACATAGAAGTCTAGTTTCTAGCTCTGCAATCTGAATTGCTGGACTTTTATGTTCCTATTATATTAAGACAACTCATTAAATGTAACATTTTTGGAGTTAATTTAATTTGCAAGCATTCAGGAGACCACAGTTATGAAACCCAACAACTGAATGACATGCCCAATGTTTAGATCACAGTAGCATGCAACCTATTTTATGGTTTAGCTCATGAGAGCAGGAATCCCACAATTCCAAAATATTTGTTAGAAACATGCAGTCTTAAAGGTACCTGCATCACTTTGAGACAACTATCTCATTCAAAAGCCTTATCTTTGAATGAGACTGTTGCCTCACTTTGCAGTCTGAAAAAAACAGGTACATAGGATTTTTGTTTCTTTTTACCTGCTAACTCTTTCTTATGCTTTCCACACCCACTCCAGGAGGGACACTTATTTATCCAGTTGGTGTTCTATCCCTAGGAATGTTGAAAAAGTGCATTAGGCATGCTTGGCAGATTTACACATGTGCAGTTTAAAGACCTCTTCATATTGCAACATAATGAATTAATCTGATCTGTGTGATTCATTCAGAGCAAGTTCCTGTGTCTTTTCTCTCTTTACTGCTGCACAATGACACTGAGTTTCTGTCCTTAGTAAACTGGTTCGAACCTGAGAAAGATGGGTAAGAGAAAGGGAGGGGACCTGAATAAACTCCCCTAGCTGAGAGATGTGCCCAACAATGCAATCTGACAAAGTTTATAATAAGTGTTTAAATGTTATTGACATACTTTTCAAAGTTTTTCTTGCTTCATTTTGGTTTGTATATTTGTTTAAAAGTGTTTGCTTGCTCGCTTAAAAAATAATAATTGCCAAGTCATGCATGTTTCATTAAACATCACTGCAGAACATTTGAATAATTCTGGATTCCCCACTTTTGGTTTCTTGGGTTGGGAACTTTAATTGAGTCACACAGACTGGTGCTGCCAAGCCATTTCACAGGCCAATTAGACAACATGTTGGCTGCCTGCCAGATCTGGAACATATGTGCATGTCACTAGACGTGTCCTGGGCACCACCATGATGCGTGTGCATTACTTAGCCATGTCATATATGTAGGACAATTCTAATATTTCCCATAGTGTGAAGCTTAGCCTGTTACTTCAGGATTGTTACTAGGCAATTCCTTTATATTTTACTCTGATCTGATGCTACTTGAACCTTTATTATGGTGCAATATATATACATTCAGTGCTTTTCTAAGTAGCCTGACAGTTTAAATCCCTAGTTTGAAGCCTAAACACTAAATGCACACTACTCCTAGGTTGTGCCTTTAATGAATGCACTATATTTATATATTGTTGGTGCTTTTAAATTAGATAATAAAAATATACCATTGAATATTCCATTTAATTTTCAAGTAAGAATGCCGGGCCAATCTTGAACGCTTTTTACTTTTTAGCGAAATGCTGTATATTTATGACTATTTAGTGCAGTCGCCTACAGCAGCTACTGTTACTGGCAGTTGATCGGACTGGGTAACTGTGCTGACACTGTTTAATAGAAGCCAATCAGTAGCAGGTGAAGTTAAAACTATAGACCTGCTAGCAGTGGGCAAAATGTATCACCTAACCAGAAAGAAAAAAATTATGGACATTTAAAAAAGGAAAAAAAAAAACATTAAAAGCAGAAAATATGGATTGTCAACCATACATGTTTAAAGGCGCATTCTAAACACCATTATAGCCGTTTTGTGTATGGTTTGAATCTTAACTTGGTCACACCAGTAGTGATGTCCCGAACGGTTCGCTGAATGGTTCGCCACGAACGGTTCGCCACGGACTCATCATTGAGTAAACTTTGACCCTGTACCTCACAGTCAGCAGACACATTCCAGCCAATCAGCAGCAGACCCTCCCTCCCACACCCTCCCACCTCCTGGACAGCATCCATTTTGAAGCTGCATTCTTAGTGAGCTGGCCAGGAGGTGGGAGGATCTGGGAGGGAGGGTCTGCTGCTGATTGGCTGGAATGTGTCTGCTGACTGTGAGGTACAGGGTCAAAGTTTACTGAATGATGAGTCCGCGGCGAACCGTTCGTGACGAACCATTCGCGAACTGTTAGGCGAACCGTTCGGGACATCACTACACACCAGGCATTCATAGTCCTTCTTGACTTCTCCATACAGCTAAAGTGGAAGTTCTGTTTAATTCCAACAATATCAGTTTTGTACAACAAACAGAGAATTCACTGGATGTGTGTGTCCGTTGACTGGGAGATGCCACCTGTATTGCTAATGGTTCTTAGAGTGCCCTTTTAAGAAGCTTTATTTTCCAATAAATAGTTTATTAGTGTGTTTTTTTTTACATACTCAAGGTGTGCACGATGGTAAGCATGCATGGGCGAATCCTAGCAATGTAAGTGTGTGCATTCAGTTACATACATTTACCATGCTTCAGCTAACAGTCATTTGCTTCTACAGAGAACAAAAATGTAATTATTTCACGATTCAGTGATTATACGTTAAGATTCTCTATGCTACACAAAGTTTTACTGACCCCAGTTTGATAACTGTGCGCCCCAGGGACTATTCAGTGACTGCATGAACTAATGTAACATGCTGTCATTGTCGTTAGATTTCATAATATCACATTAACTCTTTACACAACTCAATTAGCAGGAAAATTAATTAAGGCTTTCCAATCAAGACTACGGTATGCTAATGATACTTTATAATAAAATCTGTATTATTTTCAATCAGGCATTTACCAAAGGTATAGCTCATTATCAGCAATGGTATCAAACCTCAGATAAATCTAACTGCAAATCTCTCCAAATACTGGAAAATTAATACTATATCTATAGCATCAACTGAAACAAACAAAATACGAATCATTTTTTATTTTTTTATTTATATGGCCATACAGAGCCAGAAATTACCAGTAGAATGTAAATGTTATAATTGTACCGCTCAATGCCTCAGGTCATTTTAACACATTGAGCCTTGCAGCCTTGTACAATATAAGAAAGGGAAGGGGTTGACTTTATTTACAAGTCTACTTATGAGCCAGAGATACTAACTGCAACTATTGATATTATATTTTTCGGGACTGTGGTCCCAGCACTTGAGTGATGGTAAAGGTACGCGGAGTTTATTGCAAAGTATTTCAGCTTTCACTGTAAGGTAATGTAACAAAACAAAACCAATGACGGCCATACATACTTATAAACTGTTTTTCTACGTTGTCTAGTTTGGCCCTTGAGGATCATAGCAGGGTTTCTAGGCACGATTTCAATCTCTGTTGAGTTTAAGTGTAGTTGTTAGCTCAATAATAAGTATTGTTTATTTAATCAACCTTTGTAATGTTCCCGTATATTTATGCTTTATGAGTTAAAGCTTAGTAGATTAGCAGCAAAATGCGTTCACAAAACAAGATATACTCAGATCTGTGCGTGCTAGTCAGCATTTTATTATATAAATAGGAACGTGATAAAACCACTCACTTGCAGAAATGTTTCCTCAATGTATCATCTCTGTTAAATGCAAAAACTACGAAAATGTGAGCCCCGTGCATTAGGAAGTATTTTGGGAATCATTGATTGATATCTGAAACATCACAGCTTCCCTACAGTACTGGACTTGGCAAAGGAACATACCTTACCCAAGATTAAGACATTGTATCTCCTTTATCGATTAAGGTGTAACTTTTTTTTTTTGTTTATTTTGCTTGAATTTAAGTCAGTTGCTTTTCGGTTTTGTTGTAGCTGTTATTAATGATTTCCTATTTTGTCAAAGATTATAAAATTAAGACACACAGCTCCATGTCCCAACAAAATTGGTGACAACATGGTGTTCTTTGTTCCTTTTCCTATAGTTTAATACTATGCCACAACATACCACCCACAAATCTCTCTTTTATTCTTTTATTGACACGCACAGAGTATTCTGAAATTTTACGCTGGGGTTCCTTATTTCTAGGAGCTAAGAATATTTGTTGTGTGTGAGAACCTCACAGAGATTAGAAACTGTGAGAATAAAGGGATCTTGTGGTCCCTACTGGTTAATAGGAGGCTCTGGGGGCCACTTCTAACTACATGAGCCCACATTCCTAGGCATGTGGGGTGTGAGATTAGTGGAAACCACTGAGCATCTATTGCCTAACTAATATAAGAATCTGGAACCTTACTTGTTACTATGTAAATCAACCCATCCTACAACATGGAATGAGGGAAGGAGCAGGTAGATACCCAATGGAAGGACTGATCTTCATCCTGATGCCCATGTGGTAAGACAAGAGGGGCAATTATATAGCCACTGTCTTGCTAATAAAGGATTTTGGAATCCAATTACTTGTTTAAGCTCACCTCTACCCATTAGACATAAATTGGGGAGCAACAAGATTATAAAAGTGGTCTTGTCATTTGACAGTGTTTTATAAAGATATAATCTTTATAAAATACTCATAGCTCCAATGACTACTTTGCTTATGTACCAAGTCCAGGTTGACAAAAGATGAACCTTTCACTGTCAATATTTATCAATCCTACAACTGTCATTAGTGATAGCTGTCGGAGACTGGCATCTTCTTGTGCACTGCCAAAGTGGGTCTATGGATCACCCTGCGATCTTGCAGGATCCTTCATAGACCTCCATGCATGAGAGTAAAGCAATGACATGGGCTCCTGGCTTTGACACACTCCCCCTCCCTACACACTTCTGGAAAAAATCTCAGTGTTTTAGCTTATTTATTGCACAGTGTATTTAATTTACAATGTATATTATCTCCTGCTCTGTTAATCGCCTTCTGGAACCTGCAACAGACATGTATGCGTGATTAACATTCAACTAACAAAATATGAACTTCTAAAGAAAACACATTGTGCTTTAAATATAAAGCACTTCTTATGTACAGTGTAAGTCACAGCTAAGGCTGTATAAACCCCTAAATGGCATGGAAAGGAGGAGTGAGACTGCAGGGGCATGATCTATACAACTAAACCACTTCATTAAGCTTATTTATTGTACGTACAATGTTTTATATCTTTATATGTGATTATTTTATTTATTATTAAAGAGTATATTTAATTTGTTTTGCTTTTAGCATTATTTTATGTATTTTTAAATGCTTGCATTCTGTAATTATTCTTGATATATTCTAATTTAAAAGGGACACTATAAGCAATATAATATTTTAATCTAATTGAATTGGTTATAGTGTCTGGTGTTCAAGTGTGACTTGTAGTTTATGACATGTTATTGTTTTTTAAAGGGACACTGTAGGCACCTAGACCACTTCAGTCCATTGGAGTGGTCTGGGTGCCAACTCTATCATTTTATAAACTGCAATAATTAATTTGCCGGGTTAAGTCCTCCTCTAGTGGCTGTCTATCAAATAGCTACTAGAGGATCTTCCGGCTTCTTAGATGACTTTTGGTCGTCTAAACGACTCTGGACTTCTTCACGCTATGCATGAGGACCTCCAGCGTCGCTGGAATCCCCATAGAAAAGCATTGAATAATGCTTTCCTTTGGGAAGGTCTAATGCACGCGCACGGCCATTGCCACACATGCCATTGCCACTTCCTTTGCCGGAGCCTGACCCAGCGCCGAGGGACATTGGTGCTGGATTCAGGTAAGTGTCTGAAGGGGTTTAACTCCTTCAGTGACGTGAGATGGGGGGGCGGGAGGGAGGGGGACACTCCAGGATTCTGCATTGCCAGGAAAACAGATTTGTTTTCCTTACACTGGAGAATCCCTCCTTTTCTGGAAAGGAGGCACAGTCTAGCCAAGGATAAAGATCCTTACTCACCTAAATAGCAAAACAAAATATAATTTTGCCTTGACATGAAACATTCTTTTAGAATCTACAACAGTATCGGTGGTAACGAAGTTTGGCCTGATTTATGAAGTTTTTATAGCAATTTACAGAACATCCTAGCTTCCCCTCTTAATGTGATATAGCACTGCATGCTGCTTTCTTAAAATAGTATTAGTATTTTTAATTTGATTTAATTGTTTAAACTAATCAACTTGTGTGGTTAGGTTAGAGTTGTGGTAAAGTAATACAAAAGTGCTGATTATATGTATAAGTATTCAGACCCCTGCTCAATTTTCTCATATTGTTGAATCACAAATGACACATTCTAATTTAGTTATTTTGATATTTTTGGCTTTGCACACTGAAACTCAAACTAAATTACTGCTTTTGCTCAAATTTAGTGATTTGGTTCTTCCTCTACCTGGATGGGATCTGGTTCACATAGAGTCACATTACCATATCCCTTCATTATACTCTTATTCCTTCCAACATTGGAGCGTACGTCTGGATCAGTATGGGCCCAACAGATAAAGAAGCATGCAATGTCCTACTCAGAGCTGCACATGTGTTAAACTGCTCAGAATGAGGGTGGACATTTGTTGTTCTGACACAATGTATTCCTCCATGGGCGTCTACAGGCATAAGTTGTGTTGCTGTTCCAGAAATTTGATCAGACACTAATTTACAGAATGTACACTATAGCAGAACAACCCATTCCCCAAAGAATAATTGCAATTCAAGAAAATATTAAACTAAACAATTTTTTAAAAGTATTCTTCTGAAAGAGTTTAATGGATGCAAAACATAAACACTGGACGGGTTAAACCTTTGTTTCTTAACCATATGTATTAACACAGGACATGCAAGCTAACTTTTAACTGGAGCTGTAGTGTATCCATGTGGAATCAATTAGAAAAATAATGAATTTCAAATACGTGCCTGTAAGGCCACATTTATGTTAAACACTTCTTGACAACTGAAACAAATGACTTCTAATTAGTCTCATCACTTAAATTCTGATTATTAGAGCAATCCAAATATTCGAATGCACTACAGTACGAGTTACTGTCATATTGCAGAAAAGTGAAACAATAAAAAAATAACGCCACATCAATTCAAAGTAACTCTGTAGTTATTTATGGATACACAGTGTAAGCACCGTAAATGTTAAATGACTAGTAAAGTAAATAAAGAAACATACCAAAATATTACCACGTTTTATT